AACTGTCAAATTGTCACTACTTATAATAATATTTACTTTTTATATGTCACTATATCAGCCATTATTAATTTTTGTTTAACATTTCTTTCATTTCAGTTTCCTTTGCATTTTGTCGCAACTATTTGAATAATCATAATTTAAATGTTACTTTTAGTCTAGCCAAATATTTTACTTTTCTGTGTTATCTGCATTTAGATCATTCGTTCGTATGTTTGTCGATACAGAATATTTTTAAGACATTTTGTCGGGAAGGGGGGATCACTTTAACGCAAATATAAAAAGAGATTTTTTTTTTTTTTTACTCAGCATATTTGCTTTTAATTTTATATCTTTCTTATTCTCGGGGTTTATTTGTTTTGTTTTTTTTTGAAAAAAAAATCTTTTTCACTCGAAGTGAAAAATATTCTTTTAAATAAAGAACTCTTTTTAGTTTGAAGAAAAAATTTAAAAAAAAGATTTCTTGTCAAGTCAAAATGGACACAAAACTCGAAAAGTGAGTGAAGCATACTGTTCATTTTGACGCATTTGATATATATATATATATATATATATATATATATATATATATATATATATATATATATATATATATATATATATATATTTTATATATACACTGCGTGCCAAATTATACGAGATAAATTTTTTCTAATATTTAAAAAACCGTCCAATCAATTCTCTAAAAATTTTCACACAATGTGACATGTACTGATCTGCACAATCACTGAATTTTTTGTACTGATCTGCGCAATGTAAACAAACTGGCGCCATGTTTGTTATCAACACAGTGATTTGAGCGTGCCAAATTATTAGAAAAGGTTTAGTAAAATTCCCAAATTGAGCAAACACAACGTTTATTAATGTTGAACGTGAATGTTTTATGGTCAAAAAAGAAGCTAATAAATAAGATAATATATAAATATGTATCTATATATATATATATATATATATATATATATATATATATATATATATATATATATATATATATATATATATATATATATATATATAAAAATAAGTATGAAGAAAAATATACGGAAAAAACAAACAAAAATCCTAATATGCAATTATGCTGTTTTAATGTTAATTTGATGTAAAGTTTAACTTCGTAGTATTGGAAAAAGAAATTGGGTATCAAAATGTAGTGATTTCTTCTTCATTTCACTATTACTGTGCGCTCTCTGGGTAATCTTTGTAGCCGCCTTGTTGGCTGGGGCTTCAGAATACGCCCGCTACACCTCTGCAGAGTGGTAGACCCCACCCCAATTAAATGAGGTGTCCTGGGTAAGACGATAAACCATATCCGACAGCAAGGCCTCTGATCAGGGATTTTAATAAGTGTGGAACCACCTGTTAATTATTGGTGTTCCCAGGTCCTCCTTGACCCATGGTAGTAGCACCTGTTTGTATCCCAGCTATGGGCAAATAATTAACCTCCCAAAAGGGGTCAAAAAACTATGAAAATATAAAAATAGGTTATAATACCAACAATACAGTTTTTGGAAAAATTATTACCAGCAATATATTTTTGAAAGAAAATATTACCAGCAATAAATTTTAGGAAAATAATTATTACCAGCCATAAATCTTTGAAAAAGAAAAATATTACCAGCAATATATTTTTGAGAAAATATTACCAGTAATACATTTTTGAAAAAATATTACCAACATTTTTGAAAAAATATGACCAGCAATACATTTTAAATAAATATTACCAACATTTTTGAAAAAATATTACCAACAATAAAAATCTTGTCGGTATTAAATTATCCATTGACGTACCTTGACCACTCGGCCACAAAGGATCGTTCCGTTGGCAAGGTCGAATTTACTGCTTATAAACTTCAATCTTCCATGAATCTCGTACATTCATAACTGCTCATGGCGTATCAATGTAAACAAATGACGTCATATATTAAGAAATGGACAAAGTCCGACAAATATTTCTTAACATATGACATCATTTTACCCCATTGTTTACATTTGATATTATTGAGCTGTTATGAATGTACAAAAATCATGGAAGATTGAAGTTACGTCAACATAAATAAACAGTATAGGATGCTTTTCGAATCCTGTCAAAAGGACGATTTTCTATATTACCCGGATAATTAGAGCATTTATTATAAACATAGCATTTTAATTATCTATCTATAAAAAGAACGTTAAACATAAAAAATGTCTTTAATAAATAAATTGTCGGACTTTGTCCATTTCTTTATATATTTTTATTAGAAGAGATTATAAAAAACATTTTGAAATCGCTACACAAAAATGTTCTTGTTTTAATATTTTGATTGTACTTCTTCAGTCGATGCAAGTAACTGGTGATTAAATCCTTTTTAAGAAAATTTTAAAACAAAGTGTTACCTCTTTTCCGAAAGTTAAAGGTGGGTATATAAAGTCAGAATTAAAAATAGTTTTGTTGGTATGTCTTGATTAACCAATTAAAAGTCAGATCTATGCTAAATAACTGATGGCATGTCTATGTTCCGGTTTATCGTGAAAAAAATAAATCATCCAACTCCACCCTCTGCGCTTACTTTTCCATTTAGCGATTTCTTGATGAGTACCCATTGGATTTTGTTTAATTTGACGCATTAATATCATCAAAGATCGAAGGGATCCTCCGTGAAGCACTTGTCTTTCTTTGCTTTTCAACAGTTTTGATTTTTTATATACCTTGCACTGAATGAACTAATGGCAGTAACTGGCATATTCATGATATCTGAGATTTTCGCGTAACGTTTACCTTCTTTCGAGAGCATAACAATCAGTTGTTTTTGCGAATTTCTCAATTTTTTATCTCTTGCCATGATGAAAACCTTCTTGCACGAATATCAATGACAAAATGTTCTGTTTGTATTTTGAATAAATTTAGATAGATAGATAGATTTGAATAAATTTACATATGAATAGATTTAGATAGATATGAATAAATTTAGTTATGAATAGATTTAGATAGATAGATATGCATAGATTTAGATAGATAGATATAGATAGATAGATAGATAGATGAAGTCAGGATAGAATATGAATAAATTTAGATAGATATAGATAGATGGATAGATAGATAGAATTAGATTTAGATATGAATAGATTAGATAGATAGATAGATAGATTAGATAGATAGATATGCACAGATTTAGATAGATAGATAGATAGATAGATAGAGATAGATAGATAGATAGATAGATGAATAGGATAGATAGATAGATAGATATGATGAATAGATAGATAGATATGATAGATAGATAGATAGATAGATATGAATATTTTAGACTAGATAGATAGATAGATTCTAGATAGATATGAAAAATTTTAACAGAAATAGATAGATAGATAGATAGATAGATAGATAGATAGATAGATAGATAGATACGAGACGGAGAGAACGGATAAGCAAGCCTTGTTTCAACGAGAGAAAAAGGCGTGGTTAATAACTAAAGGCGACAAAAGAATTCTCCTGTTCACTCAAGGATGGGTTGGATAATAGAATTCAACCAATTGTAACGCATAGACAAGTAAATACGGTGCTTCCATTAACGCCCAATGCGTAAAGAATGATAAAGAATTGGTTATTCCATGAATGAAAGACATATCTGTGTGTGTGTGTATATAGTATTGATCGATATGGAAATAGAAAGAATTTTCAAACTGTGGACACCGTTTTTAAAGATATGGAAGAGATATAAACGAACGTCGGAGACGGAACTTCGACGTGGTGTAACGGTTAATTAGCTTGTCTCATTACATCAGTGATGAAATAAATTAGTGATTTCGATATTCATATCAAAATATCCTTCTTTTCGGCCTTAGCCACTATCTTAAAGGTTGTTTTTTTTACACAAACTTGTCATCAAAAATTAGATTCATAGCCAAGTTTTGATCTGTTATTTTTAAAGATCCTCTGAAAAATGTATAGAAATTCCTAATTTCTGTACGTTTTTGCTTACAAACTGACTTAATATTTCAAGAATGAATCCAAATCTTTTGTCTTCGATTCATTGAATGGAAAATATATTCAAAACAGAATTCTAATTTTGAATTAGCTAAATATACATTTCTTTTACTGTATTCGATAAATCAAAACCGGTTGATCACAATTAATAAAAAAGCAAAAAAGATAAAAAAATATAAAAAACATAAATCATAGGCAACTTTATTATTGTTCAAAAATAATTTCCTCCTAATATTGAATTTTTCCATATACAATAGATTTTGACTAAATTATGAAGTTTATAAGGCTTTGCTATAAGGCTTTCACTGATCACCGGAATGAAATTCCAACGTTACGATTTTGAACCTAAACATATTAAACTTTTTAGATCCAAAAACGAAAAAAAAACAACTGTTTCATTATTTATTATGACAAAACCAACCTTGAAATACAATTCTAACCAGTGTTCCAATGAGATCTGCTTTTCAACATAAGCGTATCTGATATAAATGAATTAAAAATTTACCCACTCAGAACCAAAACGTAAAAAAATATAATATTGTTTTTTACAATGATTTTCTACAGCCCTCATATTTTTGAACCTAAATTAATCTTTTATACTTTGAAAAAAAAAAAGTGATATGAAAAAAACATCTCTTTAAAAAAGCATTTTTATTATTTATTAAACCCCAACGACCATATATATTATTTTTGCAATACCCGTTTCCAAAATCGAATTTAAGGTCTGCATAAAAAAAACTGAAAAGCCTCCCTCATTTATAACGTCATGGTCAAAATATTCATCTCATAAGATGAAATCTTCTAAATTTTAGCTTCACATTTTAGTAGTTAATATTTAAACATTCGTATTTGGCGATCAAATCAATAATACAATAATACTTTTTGAAACTTAATAGAAAACAAAATGTTTATAATTTGCACTGATTATTGAAATCATCAATAAAAATTAGTTTAAATAATATATTACATCCAAAAATAATAAATAAATTGTTCAATATAATTTCCTTTTCAAAATGAAAAGAGAGGCCTTTTATCATATACAAATGATTTATTTAATGTCCTTGTGCCATACATCTTGTCCAGGTTTTGGAAAGCTTCATTAAATTATAATTTTTTAAGGCATTATTGCTATAACTGACTTTCATTGACAAACCGGAAGGAAATTTCAACGCAAAGATTTTGAATCTAATTTTTAATCTTTAAAATATTTCAAAAAAAAACCGGTAAGAATTTGGAAAACCTGAATTAATCATTATTTATCATAACAGGGGCGAAATTTCTTCAATAACTGTGCAATACCAAGATTCCAAAATATTTGTTTTATGTATAGAATATATATATATATATATATATATATATATATATATATATATATATATATATATATATATATATATATATATATAACATATATATATATATATACGTAAAGTTGTGTTCCAAGGAGGATGATTAAGAAACTCAATATAAATAAAATGACAAATAAATTTGAAAAAAAAACATAATGTTTAAGGTTCCATGTAATAAGTTAGATCATAAAGCCCTTTAAAATTTTTCTCATCATCATTTTCATTAAAAAGAAATGAAATGAAAAAAAAAAAGAAATAACATATTTTGACGGGTAAATTTAATATCTTACATATAAAAAGTAAAACAAGGAAGAGAATGAAAGAAGACGTGATGAAAGATGTACCATTTCAGTTCTTTATCCCTAATAAATTTTTGCCCGTCAAAAATGTTCCAATTTCATTTTCATTTGAATTTCAATAAAGTGAATCTGATGAAGAAAAATTTATATTTAAACATGGAAAATTTATAAAATTTTATTCAAATATAATATATATATATATATATATATATATATATATATATATATATATATATATATATATATATATACCATTCAGCATAACGTATTGAGTGTTAAATTAATTCATCTGATGTCCAGAAACATGTGAAATGTTTCTTTCTTGTTATATTATAGGCCATATCGCGTCTCAATTCAACGATTTTGACCCTAAACTTAATCTATGAAAACTTATTTCCTCAAAAATCAGTAATGATTTGGACAAAAATATTTTATGTCGTTATTTATCATATCAAACCCAAACTTTGAAATTCAGTGCAATACGGCAGTTCCAAACATCAACGCCAGCCCTAATACACAAACATTTGAGGTTAATAATTATGTATCTTAAATTTCAACGCTAAAATTTCGTCTTTGTGCCACATCTAAGCTACGCTTACTAAACAAATTTGGTTTTATGAATCTCGCTTTCATATTTCATTTATTGAAAATTTTATAATATTGTGGCAATTTGATTTTCTTTTTACAATCGATTATACGATGTCTGATCAAAAAGTATCGAGCTGTTTCTATGGTAACAGCTAAAGTTGGAACAGCGAAGCCGTTTGATACTGATTGATCCTGAATGTTGCGCATGCGCAATAAGTTATAATGATCTCACTCCGTTCCGGTGTTTACAGCAATTCAAAAAAAAAATTAAATATATCATCGTCTCAGAATAAATCATATGAAAGGTTCCATCAGTGATTTATATATTTAGAGGCATTTTCTGGACGAATACAGCATTCCTCAGATCCGACAACCACCAATTCTTAAAGATTAAGGAAAATAACACCCAGTTTATTTTTGGTTATTTTTTCTGTTTTTAAGGATATTTTTACATATTTTGCTATGTTTTTAAGGATATTTTTGGATAATTTTGCTGTTTTTAAAGATATTTTTGGATATTTTCGCTATGTTTTCAAGGATATTTTTTCTATGATTTTAAGGATATTTTTGGATATTTTTGTTATGTTTTTAAGGATATTTTTTCTATGTTTTTAAGTGTATTCTTGGATATTTTGCTATGTTTTTAAGGATATTTTTGGATATTTTTCTATGTTTTTAAAGATATTTTTAGATATTTTGCTATGTTTTTAAGGATATTTTTGGATAATTTTGCTGTTTTTGGATATTTTTTGATATTTTTGCTATGTTTTCAAGGATATTTTTTCTATATTTTTAGATTTGGCTACAGGAGGAGGAATACTTTCTGTGAAAATCTCTCGGATATTCAGGCCGGTAAATGTTGTTTAATACTGTTTATTATAAACAGAGCATTTACTTAAATATTTGTATCTATAAAAGAATGTATAAACATAAAATGTCTGCAAATATATATATATATATATATATATATATATATATATATATATATGACTCTGGATATAAAAGGTTCTTTTAGAACCTACAGCGGCGTAATAGTATGCCACAAGATCATCAAATGACACACTGCAGCATTTTTAATTATGGCTATTACTTGTCTCGACGTTCGCCAATCAATACTTATAGCCTTGATTGGCGTATTCATGGTCTAGGAGAAGGATTCAAATTTTTCAGAAATATATACTGCTAACATTCTTTGGGATTGCTAAAACAAAATTTCAGATTTTCAGATTTCATGACTAATTTCATTATTAAAATTTAAGGTGCGACCCAGTGTTTTAGTTATTCTACAAATGCGTCCTGAAGCAAAAAATAAAGAGATGGGAGTTAAGAAATACTTTCTCTAAGTTAATATTGACAGACATCACGTTCGCATCTTCCTTCCTTGCATCTTCGTTCTGATTATTGTCTTGTCTATACCTTTCAATACCTCACGCTCAATGAACAACCTTCAGGGCCACCACACTTTCCGACCTTTCGCGAATTTATCGTGTTCAAACTGCAAAGATGACTCACCGTTTCTCTTTCGCGCCTTTTTTTCAAGATTTGTTTGCTTTTTTTTTATGTTTTCATATTGCAAATAACGTTTCTTAATGTCTTTCTCAAAATCTCGTTCCATTCAAAAAAGATGAGCTTATTTAAGTCACACACGCACACATATAAGTCTATATAAGGATTCATCAATCGATATTATTTCTCAGCAAATCATTGATCGATAACGACATGTGTCGTGTTTGTTTTCTATTTTATTCAATTGTGCTTACCGATGTTCATACATCTATTTCTCTCGATATAATTTATACATATATATATGTGTGTGTGTGTGTGTGTGTGTGTGTGTATTTAGGCAGCAATCCTTCTTTCATGCATATTCCATTGAATACAACAGACAAGGTGCTTTGATTTAGTTTTTTATACAATTTCTCATGCGATCTAATATTTATTTTTCCTTTTCAGATGATAAATTCTATAAAAACTGTCCGAATGTTCTTTTTATCCGAGCGCTTTCGGCTATACATTTAGCCATTTTCAAGGTTGAAATATTTTAACTGTTAAATAAGAAATAGTTTGTTGTATGTATGTTTTATAAAATATTTTCGTTTTTCAAAACATGGTCAAGATATTGTGTCCATGTTCATAGTTGATATTATTGACTTTTTTTTTTTAATTAATAAGTCTTCCATTAATTTTAGCCTTTTTTCTTGACCGTATTTTGAAAAATGGAAATTTTATATAAATACTTAAACAAACAACAAAGAAAATACGTCCTCCGACAGGAATCGAACCTGCATCCTACACGAAACTATCATATAGTCTGGTGTGCTATATCATTTAGCCAGAGTTTACGTTAAGATACGCTTCGAGCAGATATGAGAGTTCGAAGGAAATCATGGGAAATTTATAGTTTAAAAGTAGTAAAACGAAAATTTATTAATAAATTGTTAAAAAATCAAAATTAAATAAATCTCATCCCAGAAATTGATTATCATGGATGATAAGATCGATATACACATTTGGGGGAAGGCCGGAAAACTAATCAATTTTTTGAAACGTTGTGACGACAACAACAAAGATGAGGACAATAGTTCGAATATAATTAGTGTAAATAATGATAAAACCTCATCCCAGAAATTCATTCCCTGGGGAAGGCCGGAGAGAACAACGGCCGAAACGTTGTGATGACCACAACAAAGATGAGGACAATAGTTCGAATATAATTAGTGTAAATAATGATAAAACCTCATCCCAGAAATTGATTTCCTGCGGATGATCTAGATCGATATACACCTGGGGAGCACTACGGTCGAAACGTTGTGATATCAACAACAAAGATGAGGGCAATACTCTGACTATAAACAGTGTAAATAATTATAACGCCTCATCCCAGAAATTCATTGCCTGTGGATCATCCTGATGGATATACACCTGGGGAAGGCCGGAGAGCACAGCGGTCGAAACGTTGTGATATCAATAACGAAGATGAGGGCAATAGCCCGACTATAAACAGTGTAAATAATGATAACGCCTCATCCCAGAAATTCATTCCCTGTAGGTGATCCAGATATACATTCGAGGAAGGCCAGAGAGCACAACGGCCGAAACGCTGTGATAATAACAACAAAGATGAGGACAATAGTTCGAATATAAATTGTGTCAATAAAGATAAATGCTCACCTCAGAAATTCAGAGTTTTGCCATTTAAAAAAAATCCCTTGGGACACACTCGAAAAAAAAGGCATAATTTATTTATTGTCATGGTTGCCTCCTTTGAATTATGATTCATTTTAATTTTAATAGAAAGCAAAACAGCAAAGATAAACACTATTGTCTGAATCCCCGCCTTAGGTGATCATGACTCTTCACAACTTCCTGTCCTTTGTAGTTCTTAATCAATTTACGCTAAGTTTCCTCTGTCTCTCTTGTCTTCAATCTGTCCCATGAGTATCAGATTCTACAAGCGCCCTTCCACATAATTTGCCATAGAAATCTCAAAGTTTTCTTCCTGATGATAAGTATAAGGTTCCTTCCTGTCTCCATTTTTCTTCAACTTCATTGTTGCTCACATGTTTGGTCGATGGTATCCTAAACATCCTTCTGTAGAACCAAATTTCTGTTGCTTCAATTCTAGTCTTCATCTGTGTGAAAATTGCCGTACATTCATAAAAGAGCACTAATATTAGGTAAAAATTCAGTACTCTTTTCTTTGTTTCTCTTGCTTCAAGTCTCTTCTTCATCTGTGAAGACATTGGCCACCATTCATTGGCATAGTGAAGGACTGATATTACATAACAGTTCAGTACACTTTTCTTTGTTTCTCTTGCTTCAAATCTCTTCATCCCTGAGAAAATTGTGCAGCCTTCACTGCCACAGAGGAGGATTGATATTACGTAACAGTTCAATATTCTTTTCTTTGTTTCTCTTGCTTCAAGTCTCTTCTTCATCTGTGAATATTTTCCAGCATTCACTGCCATAGTGAAGGACTGATATTACATAACAGTTCAGTACACTTTTCTTTGTTTCTCTTGCTTCAAGTCTCTTCTTCATCTGCGAGGAGATTGGCCAGCATTCAATGACATATAGGAGGATTGATATTATGTAATAGTTCAGTACTCTTTTCTTTGTTTCTCTTGCTTCAAATCTCTTATTCATCTGTGAGATTGTCCAGCATTCACTGCCATAGTGAAGGACTGATATTACATAAGAGTTCAGACCTCTTTTCTGTTTCTCTTGCTTCAAGTCTCTTCTTCATCTCCAAGAAAATTGTCCAACCTTCACTCCCATATAGGAGGACTGATATTACGTAAGAGTCTCTTCATCTCTGAGAAAATTGTCCAGCCTTCACTGCCATAGAGGAGGATAAAAATTAAATTTTTTCAAAGTACACTTTTCTTTTTTTCTGCTGCCCATTCCTCTTCTTCATCTGTAAGTAGGTTGTCAGGCATTCGCTGCCATAGAGGAGGACTGATATTACATAACAGTTCAGTACTCTTTTCTTTGTTTCTGTTGCTTCAAGTTACTTCTTCATTTGTGAGGAGATTGTCCAACATTCACTGCCATAATGAAGGACTGATATTACATAAGAGTTCAGAACTCTTTTCCGTTTCTCTTGCTTCAAGTCTCTTCTTCATCTCCAAGAAAATTGTCCAACCTTCACTGCCATATAGGAGGACTGATATTACGTAAGAGTTTAGTACTCTTTTCTTTGTTTCTCTTGCTTCGAGTCTCTTCTTCATCTGTGAGAAGATTATCCAACACTCGCTGCCATAGAACACTTTTGCCTAATACTAAGTCGTTACTGGCAGGGCCGTTAATAATTTTCTCTCTAACTCTCCATTGTCTGTAGGCGTTAAAGATTCTTTGTCAAATTACCGTCGGAAAATGTTAGCAAAAAAAAACCCCACTAAATAAAGCAAATGTCGTATAAAAAAAGATGATAGATTTTCTCTGGATTCAGTGAGGCGGTGACAAGACAGTGACAAGAAACGGGTGGGGTTAGGGAAGAAGTACAATTCAAGGGGAGATAACTCTTTGTCAGTCGAACAAAGCGGCGAACAAGAGATCATGTTATCTTTGGCCCGTTTTGAGATTGATGAGAAAATGGTAAGAGGAAATCGTAAAAAAATACCGGAAACGAGAAAAAAAAAAGTTCTCAACAAATAGAACACATGCCAGAAGATTGGGTACCAAAAATAAAAGAATAACCATTAAACGAATAGAATATTAACAATATGTATCAAAACAGAAATAAAGTACTGATATTAGAGGAAGGAAAAAAGGAACGGGAAGGAAGAAATGAAAGAAAGAAGGAAGCAGGAAAAAAGAAAGGAAAAAAAAATAAAAAAAAAAAAGGAAGGAAATAAAAAAAGAAAAGAAGGAAGAAAGGAAGGAAGAAAGGAAGGAAGGATGGAAGCTGTAGGAGGAATAAAAAAGAAAAGAAAGAAAGAAAGAAAATGAAAAAGAAAAAAGAAAAAGAAAAAAATAAAGAAGAAAAAATAGGAAAATGAAGGAATTTTGATGTAAAGAATGAATAAGAAGAAAGGAAGGAAGGAAGGAAGGAAGGAAGGAAGGAAGGAAGGAAGGAAAAAAAAATAAAATTTTCAAAAAAAAGGAAGATAGGAAGGAGGAAGGAAGGAAGGAAGAAAAAAAGGAATGAAGGAAGGAAAAAAAAAGGAGGAATAAAAAAAAAAAAAAAGAAAAAAAGAAAAAAAGAAAGAAAAGGAAACTGTAAGAAAAAAAGAAAAAAATTTTGAAAGGAATTAAAGGAAGGAATTTTTCAAAAAGGAAGAAAGAAAAGAAAGGAAGGAAGGAAGGAAAAAAGGAAGGAAGGAAGAAAGAAGAAGAAAAGAAAAAAAGAAAGAAAAAAAGGAAGAAAAAAAGGAAGGAAAAGGAAACGAAAGGAAGAAAATGAAAGAAAGAAAGAAAGAAAGGAATTGAAGGGAAAGAAAGGAAAAAAAAAAAAAAAGGAAGGAAGGAAGGAAGGAAAAAAGAAAGAAGGAAGGAAGGAAGGAAAGAAAGAAAAAGAAAGAAAAAAAGGGAGGAAAAAAGAAAAGAAGGAAAAAAAGAAGGAAACAAAGGAAAGAAATGAAAGGAAGGAAGAAAGAAAAAAGCAAAGGAAAGAAAAGGAAACTGAAGAAGAAAGAAAAAAAGAAGAAGGAAGGAAGGAAATGAAAAAAAAGAAAGAAAGGAAGGAAGGAAGGAAGGAAAAAAAAAAAAATGGGGAGGAAAAGAGGAAAGAAAGGAAAAAAAGAAGGAGGAAAAGAAGGAAAAAAGGAAAGGAAAAAAAAGGAAGAAACGAAAAAGGAA